TCAGAGGTCATGCTCCTATTTCTCCCACCATGTTTTCACCTGACAGACTGTACAGTTTCCGGTGTTGTTTATATGCAATAATGAAAATGGCATCCATACATGGAACACTAATGTATCAGACACTATTCTGGATGCTCTTCTGTACTAGACCATCCTTTCTCTTTCTAACACATGCAACTGCAAACTAAGTGTTTGAGACACCCCTTTCCAGATGAGGGACAGGCTCGGAGGGCTAAGTGACTTGTCCAAGGTCCCCAGAGCCAAGTAGATTCCAAGCTCCTTCTACTAAACTACGTTGTCTCCAGGCCTGTATGTAAATCAATTAAATAAACATTTTCTTATGTAGCCCCCATTCTGTCAACCTGAGTCATCAGAAGTACCAAAGAAATGTTCCAATCCTGAACTAGACTGGTGAAGTAAATGAGGCCTGAATTAAACCTACTTTCAGATTTGTGTCCTTTGGTTTTACCTTCATTCATGTCTTTATTTTTTTTTTTTACATCTGTATTGGAGTATAATTGCTTTACAATGGTGTGTTAGTTTCTGCTGTATAACAAAGTGAATCAGTTATACGTATACACATGTTCCCATATCTCTTCCCTCTTGCGTCTCCCTCCCTCCCACCCTCCCTATCCCACCCCTCCAGGCGGTCACAAGCACCGAGCTGATCTCCCTGTGCTATGCGGCTGCTTCCCACTAGCTATCTACCTTACGTTTGGTAGTGTATACATGTCTTTATAAAATACAAATATATGGTATTCATGCTTCCCTGATTCATCCTTAAATCAAATCTCTTTTACCCTTGTATACTTGTATCAAAGATTTATAGGTACTAGTGGTCTGTTCTGTAAGAATCAAATTAAACTCAAAATACAGAAACCTACTGAAAAATAGACTCAAATGTATAAGCGTCTTTCATCTGCGCTGCAGCGAGGGCTGCACTTTGCTCAGAAAGGCTGAGCTATGCTGGCAAGTGGACTTAAAAAAAGCAGAGGTGTTTGCTCTTTCCTTAGACATTCATGGAAATCATAATAGTAGCTAAATTAAGAGGACATTGGAATGAAGCTAATTTTTTTTATAGTTCATAAAAGGGCCCCCTCCCTGTCCCTGTTAAATCTTTTACCTTTGGAAAAGGAAAGATGCAAAGAATTCAGCAAACACTTACAACTTTTCTTGCTGGAAAACTGGGTAAAAAAAATAGAGATCTATTTTATGAAATTTGTCCCACAAAGAAAATTAGTATGTATTAACTTTTGCCATATGATACTGAGAATGACCATCAGTGATGAGCATATTTGACCTAGCTGTTGGTTCTCTTTGCCCTAACAAGTTAACCTGACTAAGGAAGCCCAGGATCCATAATTCCCAGCAGAGCTATTTTTGTTCTGTCTGTGGGTGGGTCTAGTACAGCTTGTCAGTGTCTCCTCCGCCACATCCTGGCACCACTTAATTAACGTTAAAAGGTTTAGTCACCCAAATGTTAACAGGCAGTGAACTCTGCTGCACAGGGGCTAAAAAAGCAGAACTTCATTAGCCTGTTACTAATTCTTAAAGTGTAACCAACCCCAACTGTGATTCCACTTTGCAGGGCCACCCCCAGTCCTTTGGGCCAATTAGCAAAACAGGTGCCCGCTATGGGCTGAGGGAAGTCTCACACACGCAAGGCTTGATGAGAGACAGAGATGGATTACAGCTCTCTCTTGAACCCTTGGCCAGACACCTGTGTGCACTTCAGCAAACTGCTTAACTATATATGAAGGCCCTGCCTTCACTCCCTATCTATCTGCTTAGTAACAAGATAAGGAGGCACCAACAAATACCCATTTGCTTCCTTCATTTTATCTTGGACAAGGCTTTGAATTCTACAAGGATATAATCAAGTGTGGTTCCTAATATTTTAACAAATAATTCATGTAGCCCAATGACAGTCAACCCTAGTACTTATTAGAATCACCTGGTGGAAGTTTAAAAAATACTGATGTAAAAAAAACAAAACAAAAACAAAAAACCGATGTCCAGGACTCACTCTAGTCTAGAGGCGAGAGTCCCAGTGCATCAGAATTTCTAGGGGTGGGACCAAGGCACGAATATTTTAAAACACACAGACACAGACACACAGACACACAGAGACACACACACACACACACACACACCACAATAGCAGCAATACACATTCGGGTGATCCTGATGCACAGTAAGAGTTGAGAATCACTGAGATTGTATTTAACCTATATTCCTTCCACTGCATCATCACAGCTAAATACAATGTAAGCTCTCAAATTTGTTTGTGCATTTGTTTTATCCTCTCTTTAGACAGTAGGTTCTTTAGGAGGAGGGACTCACCTTGTAAATATCTTTGGTTCTTCTTTAGCATAGTACCTTGAAATGACAGGTTCTCAATGGACAGTTTATGGTAGAAAAAGAGAAGAGCCAAAGGATACAGGCAAAAATATAAAAAGTGGTTACTCCTAGTGTTGAGATGGGTGACATTACTTTTCTCCTTTTTCCTATCTATATTTTTGGTATATTCTATCATGAACACACATTACTTTCATTAAAAAGCAAAGTTATTAAAAAAAAAAACAAAACCTGCTAGAATCTTCCAGAATCTCTAGAATAGACAAAGAGCACTGTTTCTCTTACAGAACAAGTGTATTCCTGAAATGTACCCAAGTCATACAGCCTTATAAAAAGAAGTCAGGAGTCTATAGATACTCTCTGGTTAAGCTTTGACTAGTATTTGTTCCTAATAATTCACTTTTCTTTCTGCAATTCCAATGTTTCCTATTTGTTCCAACTCCTGACCCCAAGTGATTAATGATCAATAAACCAATATTTAAATGTCCCAAGTTATATCTTTTTACAGACATAAATTTACTCATTCTTTTAACAAGTAATTTATTGAGTGGCTGCTTCTTACATAACACATGAAAGAAAGAACTACTGTCCTTACTCTCCGGGGGCTTACAATCTAATTAGAGGTACATGGGACAGAATGATATATTTCTGGCACAGATAATAAGTACCATAGGAATGCAATGTAAAGAAAAGTTACTTTGTGTTGACTGGGGACTAAGTGATGAACAACATAAGGAAAGGTAGAAAAGAACAAGCCATGTTTAGGAGTAGAGTGCCTGGCTAGAGAAGACAAACTGAACAAGAAAAGCGGCATTCATAGAAATTTAAAGTGGGATGAGCCTTATGTACCTTCTAATGTAATCCTTCCTATTGAAAGTGTATTCATCCTTTACCTACCAGTTTAAGCCCTAAAAGCCCTGACTCCTCCAAGCAGATTCTCTCCATAGCTTTTGGTCCTTGGAGTTACAGACTTCCCTGCAGTCTATTAGGACTCTAAACATCTGAGTATGACTGATCTTTTTTTTTTCAGGCAACCCAAATAAAGGCCTTTTAAAAACTGTAAACAGGTATAAAAGTGTTATTTAATATAGTTATTCTCCAATTCTTTCACTAGTAATCTTTTACAAAACTTGTAAACCTGATCGTGCCACACCCTGCTTAAAGCCCTTCAGTGATGTCCCATTTTTCTTACAAAAAAAGGCATGAATCTTTTAAATGACCTACAGCTCTTGCAATGTCTGGTCCCTGCTTACTACTCTTTTTGTTTCCGAAGGAGATAAATGTGTCACCCATCGCTGAGCTGCTTCCTCTGGAACTATCCTCTACTCCTAATTTGGCCTAGTTAGCTTCTACTCAACCCAAATCTGTTTTTTTGTTTTTGCTTACTCTCAAAGAACCGTGTTCCTTTAGGTTAGAGAATTCATCTCGGTTTGTGTTTTATGTATCATTGGTTTGATTCTTAAATTGATTCTCTCTCCCACTAGAAGATAAAGTCCATGATATCGGGGACGTTGTCATTTACATGCCTGGGCATACCAGGCAATCAGCTGATACTTGTTGAATGAATAATTGTTGTTAGATTGTCTCCTCCAATTACATAGCAGGCAGTCCAGTGCCTGCTTTGGCTCCGCTTGTCTGAAAAAGCATTTTACTAACTCGCACCTATTAAGAGACTCTCGACAAACAACTGCGCACTGCCCAGAAGGGCCTGGAATTTAAACAGAAAGTCGTTACGTCACTTCCACGGGCCTCGCGCCAGACTGGGAGAGTGGCTCTGGGGTGGCTGGAGGAAGGGACCCGCGGCGCGCGGATGAACTAGCCCGACGAGAATTCAAGTCTCCAACCAAAGCGTTTTGCCTCTGAAGTATTCCTCAATCTCGGTCAGCTTAGCTACTCCCGCGCAGCTCGAGCGGAGCTTTGGGGGGACGCTGGGCAAACGCTTTGGCCAAAAGGAATGCAGACCCCCCGACCCCCAAGATCCGCACTCTCCCCCCAACGGCAGTCCCAGATCTTGGAACTGGGCAGTCTCGAGCCGGCACCTACCTCCCGAAGCAGCTTTAGGTCCCCCTGCTGGATCTCATACAGCTGAATGACGCCGGTGCCGCGTGCGAAGTTGCCCATGGTCACAAATTTGGCGCTGCAGGGCACCCACTTACAGTCAAACACCGTGTAATTGAGACCCTTCTGGATATGGGTGATGATCTGAGGCTTCTCGAAAGCCGACATGGTCCAGCCGATTGATTTCGCCTCCGCCAACAGGCACACTGCCGACAAACCCTGACAAAACACTAACCTGGAAACCAGACTCCAAACGTCAAGGATAGTTTGTCCCTCCCGCTTGCCGTACGCGCCCCCAGACGCCCTAGCAAGTTGGTTTTAGGTGTCTCAGATAATGCCGGATGCTCTACTGAAGGCACAGAAGATTTTTCTTCACCAACAACACAGACTTGTTTATGCCTTTACCTTTTACCTTTCGTACATATACAGGTTAGCGATTACAAAAGTTTTGGCTGCGAGCGGCGGGGCAGAGGGCGACCATAAGAGTCAGACATATTTTAGGACAGCCCTTCCCTCTTCCCAACAAACACACACACACAAACTCCTGCTCCAGGTCCCCTGCATGGGACTTCTTAGGAAAGGGGGCGGAGCCCTAGGGCTGGTTGGCGAAGGCGGTGTCCTGCGAGGCGCGCCTGCGCCGTGCAGCCCGGCACGTGTTCGAGCAGCAAGCTTCCGCTGGAGTTTCTTGAGGATGCAAACCGAGATGGAGGCGCAGAGTCCCTTGGCCGAGGCCGGCTTCACCCAGGTCACCCGAAAAGGTGGCCGGCGGGCGAAGAAACGGCAGGCTGAGCAGCTGTCCGCACCGGAGGAGGGCGGGGACGCGTCCCGCATGGACACCGAGGAGGCCCGGCCTGCCAAGAGGCCCGTCTTCCCGCCCCTCTCCGGGGACGGGTTTCTGGTACTGGCGGGGACCGAGGGACAGGAACGGGGCAGGGGCCACAGGCGGGTCAGGACGGTGGCCTCTGGGTGATGTTGAAGCTTCTTCTGGCGTGAAGCTCTTAGAGAGGTGACTCTCTTGATGTTTAATTCGTCCAGTTAAAGGGGTCTTTTTGATAATCAGCTGTTGTTTCATATCTCCACCCACCCCCTATTCCTCCAGATAACTCCTGAGTTGTGTTTTCTTGTATCATAGGGTGGGAAAGAAGAAACCAGAAAAATTCCAGTCCCAGCTAACAGATATACTCCCTTAAAAGAGAACTGGATGAAGATATTTACTCCTATTGTGGAGCATTTGGGACTTCAGATACGCTTTAACTTGAAATCGAGGAATATAGAAATCAGGGTGAGGATAATATTAACTATTTCCAAATATACTGCGGTTTCTCTTTTCTGCGGGGATGAAAAGGCATGAATAGACTTTCCTTAATGAGGCTTATTTTGTTGAATGATTTTCTTCCAGTTTTCTAATATATTTTAGTGCCTGAACCTCTCAGATGCCTTCAAAATTTGCATACAACACAATTATTAGTTGAACTCATAAGTTCAGTCTGAAATCATACTAAAATACCCGCTGTGTCTTAGAAGACTTTTAATTGAGAAAAGGCTTAGTAAAGAGGTTGCATGTTTCAGAAGTATTTAAATAAGAACCAAAGTATTTGCTGCAGTACAGGTGCTATATATTTTAGTGGTATTTTTTTGAAAAAAAAAAAGTATTGAGTAAGTGTAAATTATGTATAAATGTGTTTATTTACTTATTCACTTGTTCATTCCATGATGTCAGTCTAGGAGTTAGACAAATAAAAGTAGTAAACTTTGGGGTATTTTGTTTTTTTGTCTTTTTTTAAAAATTATTTATTTATTTATTTTTGGCTGTGTTGGGTCTTCGTTGCTGCATGCAGACTTTCTCTAGTTGCAACGAGCGGGGGCTACTCTTCGTTGCAGTGCGCGGGCTTCTCACTGTGGTGGCTTCTCTTGTTGGGGAGCACGGGCTCTAGGCGCGCCAGCTTCAGTAGTTGTGGCGCATGGGCTCAGTAGTTGTGGCACACGGGCTCAGTAGTTATGGCTCACGGGCTCTAGAGCGCAGGCTCAGTAGTTGTGGCGCACGGGCTTAGTTGCTGCGTGGCATGTGGGATCTTCCCAGACCAGGGCTCGAACCCGTGTCCCCTGCACTGGCAGGCAGATTCCTAACCACTGCGCCATCAGGGAAGCCGGGGGGAATTTTTCAGGGTGCCAATTTTGTATCAAAATCAGTGACCAAAAGTAATTATATCTTCCTTTTTAACGATTCATTATCAGGACTGGTATAGACTCATCTCTGTTGAAGGACTAGAATAATGGAATAAAGCATAGAGGTACCGGTCTGAATAGTTGGCAAAGTTTAAAATACAGAACTTGACAGTAGAATTCGTCTTTGTTCCCATTGGCACTTTCGTTCAGGTTTTTATGGCTTTCTGCCAAAACCTCTTGTTTGCTTATAAGTGTCCTTTACCTCATTGCTTTAAACCTCCTTTCACCACTCCATCCTCTATGCCAGAGCCAGATTAATTTTCAGACCACACTGGTTTTATTGATGTCTTGGTATCTTCAGTAATTCTGAAAGATAAAAGTTTTTGACTGAATTTGCCTTTCAAGTAGGAGTCTCATTCCCAAGTTCTCTCACCATCTCTTTGAACATTTTTTCTGTCCATCATTATGGATGGATTTGCTCTCTGAAGGCCCTCTCCTCCCTACTCCCTTTTTCTTCCTCAGTTTCATCGTCTTTCAGGGTCTAGCTCAAGTTCTTTCTCCTTTACCGTCAGTCCATTTTTCAGTCTTGTCTTCAGGGCCTAAACGTTTATTGTGCTTAACTGTCTTATGAATTGCAGCACCATCAATTTGGATTCCACTGACATTTGTTGATACTGCTTTGTGCCAGACACATAGCAGTGGTTTGGCAGGCACTACATCATTTTGGTCTTCAGGACAGCCCTATGAGGTAGATGACATACCCCATCTAACAGATGTGAGGAAACTTGCCAAGGAGTTTCTTGGCCAAAGTCATCAGTGCTAGTAGGGACTCTTCCATTCCAACCTCCTTATTTTACAAATGAGAAAACTTAAGACCTAGAGCATTCATGGGACTTGCCTAAAGTCACATATAGAATTGCGACTGGGATCTAGTTTTATATGTGCCATTACACAACCCTGTATGGTTTCAAATTTGTCAAATATCTGGTCTCCTCAACTCAGTTGTGAGTCTGTGTGGGGGAGGAGAAATGATGGTTTTGGAATCAGATCTGTGTTCAAATCTTATTTTTTTACTTTTTGGTACTTGAGTTTCCTCAAATTCAAAAGTATTTATCTTACTTAAATTTAGGTTGACATGAAGATTAGAGCTATAGCGTGTCAAGCACCTTTGTAGTACACATCATTTACAGGGATGGGCATTTTATGAATAGCACCTGTATCTGTGATTATGGAATAAACTCTTTGAGGGCAGGATCCCCTGCTTAAACCATTCTTGGTAATTAGTACTAGAGTTGTTGCTTTGGGAAAGAAAAATCAGCACAGGAATGATGGTTGAAGTCGGGAGATTAGATCAGGACTCCCAGGGAGACTGCACTGAAGGAGAAGAGAAGAGGACCAGCTTGGGTGGGATGGGCCGAGGATGGAGGTCCTTCAGAATGGGAGCCATTGGAGGAATCTTGCTGGTAACTCCAGAGTCAGATCAGCCTTGGAGTACAGTAAGTCATTTGACAGTCTTTGGGGGGCACTGCCCAGTTCTGGAGTTAGCAAAGTTTTGTTTTGAAAATTAAACACGGTACTTATCAAAAACTGGGTCATAGAGAATATATTGGGGAAGGGTGGTAGCGAAGGAAATTATAATAATTGGAAAGGTCAATCCTAGTAGTTAGTTAGAATATTATCTTTTTCATTCCGAGCTATAATTTGTGCTCCGTAGCCACACCTTTTTTTTTTTTTTTTTTTTTTCAACAGACTTGTAAAGAAACCAAAGATGTTAGCGCTCTGACAAAAGCAGCTGATTTTGTGAAAGCCTTTCTTCTTGGGTTTCAGGTAGAGGTGAGTGATTTCATGATATCTGAAATGGGGGCTCGGAAAATACGCCATATGACTGTTTTGATGGATTTGGGCTTTTTTTTGTTCTGTTTTTTAATTTGAGTGTTGTAGTTCTACAATTTATGAGAGTTAGCTTAACACTCATTCGCAGGTGCCTGAATGGAAGGGCTTCACAGTGTGTATTTCTGTATTGTAGGACGCACTTGCCCTCATTAGGTTGGATGACCTCTTCCTAGAGTCTTTTGAAATTACGGATGGTGAGTGTATGGTGGTCTTTTCATATGAACTACTGGATGGTACTTTTCTATTGCTTTGTCTTGTACCTGAGTCTCAGCTTTCCAGCCACATCAGTTGAGTTGTGTTATTAGCAGCTTTTTCAAAAATGCATGTTTTATGTCTTTCAGTAGGGAAATTTGGTTAATGATTAAACTTCCCATGGAAGTGGGTGATGCTGGGATGGCTTCCCTCCTGAGGTCTTGCTTTTCTCATTTAGTTAAGCCCTTAAAGGGAGACCACCTGTCGAGGGCAATAGGAAGAATCGCTGGCAAAGGAGGAAAAACCAAATTCACCATCGAGAACGTGACACGGACGCGGATAGTTCTGGCTGATGTGTAAGTATGTGATCTTGAGAAAATTATTGTCATAATTTATAGTTGATCGTTTGCTGGTTTCAAGAAGTGATAAAGATTGTGTTTTACGTATAACGTAGCCACTAAATCTTTGTCAGGATATGGTTCTGGATGAATAGTTATCTACTTTGAAAACAGATTTAGTTGAGAAACTCTTAGATATTATAGCTTTTTTCTCAATTAGTAATGAAGGAAATGTTTAGAATCACTGTTAAAAGAAATTATATGACAGGTGAAGATTGAAATAGTATCTCAGGAGAATCTATTAAATCAGTAGAGGAGAGCAAGGAGTAGGTGTGTTGAATGCCATCGTGAGGCTTTCCTTTAAGAAAGAAAAACATAAATGTATATACACACACACATGCACGTATACATAAAGGCCTTTCATAAAAGGAAGGTGAGCATTGCACATTGTGGGGAAAACTAGAGAGCAGTTATACGTGAACATCAATAAGATGATACAGGCTTAAAATAAGGGTGCAGGAAGTCAAGCTGGGATTACCCTTCCCTGCCGGAGGTTGAAGCCGCTCTGTTGCCAGTTTGGGGTTACTGGCAGATGGCGCAGAGATTATATAATGCCGTGAAGTTGGGAAACGAAGCAGTTGACTGAGAGGAGGAGGGACCTGCCTACTGCTAAATCCAGAAATAATTTTATTTAAAATCATCTCATCTTTGCTCTGAACCAAAGGGCTCACCATTATTTTCGAATCTGAATTTTAGACTATTTTTTATACTGTAAATAGAAAACTGTTAACACTATATTGGTGGCCCTGTTTACCTGAAGACAGGTGTGTTATAATTTTGACCTTTTATGACTTGAGCCTGGAGTTGGGACCACGGAGCCATGGGAAAAACTCTTTTGAACTAGAAATTTCAAAAATTGAAATGTTTACCACACTTTAAAATATCATACATAAACAGCCCTAAAAGTTTTTGTTAATTTAGAAATTTTAAAATGTAACTGATTTGCTAGTCCAATTATGGTTAACGCATCATATTAAGTTTATAATTTATAAATGTATCAGTGTATTTCTAAGGGTTAACTTAAAATTTACTCATTGAACTAATTTTTTAAACAGCTGTATTACCGTGTGGTTTACATACAATTAAAGTCACCTGTTTTAGGTAGATAATTCAGTGGGTTTTTGGCAAATACTCTGCAGTCCTGTGATCCCACTGTGCTCATTTCCATCAACCCAAAAGTTCCTTGTGCGTCTTTGCAGCCCCTCCCAATTCCCAGGCAATCACTCATCTCCTTTCTGTCACTATGGTTTTGCCTTTTCTCGAAATTCATATAGGTGGAAATACACAATATGTAGTCTTTGATAGATGGCTTCTTTTAATTAGCATGTTGTTTCAAGTTTCTCCATTTTGTTGGGGGTTAGCAGTAGGTTTTTTTTCAGTGCCAAGTACTGGCAAAGAAATGTACTGTCTTGCAGTTTTTGCTGTAAATAGGCTAATTAGGCTAATCCACATGTTCAGCAATTTATATTAGTTGTGATACAGCCATAAGATGGACTGTTATGTACCCATAAATGTTATTTTTGATGAGTTGCTGAAAACCTGGCAAAGATCACAGTAGGATGTGAACAAAATATAAAACTGAAAACCATTTGTTCCAGATACATTCAGGATATCAAATGGGAAAGAACGTGACCTATATGTCCTGGGACCTGTATGCCATTCCAACCACTGCCCCATTGCTTTGGTTGTTTTAGCAGCAAAACTACTCACACTGTATGTATCCTTGCTTCTGTATCTCCTCATCTTTCATGCTGTACTTCACAGAATATTGTTTTTATCGAAGTTGCACATAACACATACTTTAAAATAATTCCTCCTGTCTGCTTCCATTTCCCCCTCCTCTGAGGGAGGAAATTTCAAGTCTTCAAGTTCAGCTAGCTAACTTGTAAAAATTATTTTTCCTCTGTATTTCTAAATATCTTTGTATAGCAGCTTAATTTTTCCCCCTCAGATTCACTGTTGCTTTTCTCCTGTGAAAGTTGAAGATTCCTCTTTTGGACTTCCCCACCTCCGCCCACATGCTCAACCTTTCCAGCGCTCCCGTTTGCGTGCCCCTCCCTTTACACTGTGGGTTTGGTTCGACTCAAGCTCAGCATTACCTGAGCATGAAATCGGTGCCCAGGATATTAACAGCTGAGCCAGGTGGTGCACTGTGGTTACTTTATCTGTCCTCTGCAGCTTTGTTGTCACAGGGAGAAATAATTCGTACGTTTCTGTGTGCTTTCTCAGTATTTCAGCGTACTAATTGAATAGAAAGCCATACCTGGTCTGTATCTCCGCTTGGTGGACTCAGATGCGTCAGACATTTTAGAAGTCTCTCCTGGAGCCTTCCGTGCCAGAAGCACTGCTACCCTCTGCCTGGCACACAGTTGCCATCCCGGCTCCTTCTTTCACCATTGCCCCTTCGGTGTTTGAATCCCTCGGTTCTTGGATTCTCTGTCCTGCGTCCTCCTTGTTTTGGTGGTGTAGGTAGTCCTGGAGCTCGCTTAGCACAGGAAGGACATTTTGTGAGACCTGGTTGGGAAGATGTCTTCTATTCTGGCCGAGTATACAAATCTGTTGTAAATCATTCTCATTCAGAATTCCTTCCTGCAGCTTAATCTTCTAATCCTTCTATTCAGTTTTCTTAACATCCTGTGGTCCATTCATGAGTGCCTGAAAATTTGCTTTTCTAATCTCACTGGTTTGGGGGTTTATTTTGGTTTGTTTTTCTTCTTTTCTCCCTGGAGTTTCTGTTTCTGTACTGCTTTATTCCGCTTGCTGGTTGTGCCTTCTACTCTTTTGCACTGGGTGCTTTCCTCGGATTCTGGTTCCTCAGTGTGGGCGTCGTATGTTAAGGGTGGGGCCGTAAGGAGCAGACTAGAAACCTGGGCTCGGGATGCCTGCGGGTGGGCTAGGGGTGGGGGGCTGGTGGCCTGTAGGCTTCACTTAGGATGATTGCCAGCCTGTTTCTTTGGGGAAGCCCTGATGTCAGTATCTTTGGTCTTTCCCAGTGAGCAGGCCAGGTTCCCCAGAGAAGTATTCTCCAGTCTCTCTGCTGACAGACTCTTGGAGCCCAGTTACGAAGACAGTTGGAAGTCTCGCAGCTCATCGTGCAGACGTTTGCTTGACATTGCCCCTGTTTTCGTCATGGTGCTCCTACTTCCACTGTGCCTGGTGCCCCTGGTCCAGCCCCCAGGGCTTTCACCTTCTGCAGTGAGCAGCCCCACCCCTTAATTTTACCAGAGTTACAGAGGGGTATAGTAAGGTGGTTGCCTGGTCGCCCGGAGTGGGGAAGGAAACCCGGGGATCATCCTGAACAGACTTTAACTGATTCTCTTGTTTTTAGCCTCGTTTTTACCCCAGTTTCAGAAATGCCTGAGCCTTTGGAAGGGAGAGGGTTCTGTTTGACGTCCCCCCTGAAGATTTTGGTGTCAGTTTACTAACTTTACTGGTATTTTGGAAGATGGGCTCAGAAAAGCAAAATGCTATGTTGTCAGTCTAATTTGAAGCATTCGGCAAGGAATGCCCAGTAAAAAGGTCTGGATGATCTCCAGAGAGTAGTGAAGAAATTTAGAGAATCTTAAATCTTTTTTTTTTCTTTTAATTTATTTTTATTTATTTATATTTGGCTGTGTTGGGTCTTCGTTGCTGCGTGCAGGCTTTCTCTAGTTGCAGCAAACGGGCTTCTCATTGCGGTGGCTTCTCTTGTTGTGGAGCACGGGCTCTAGGCACGTGGGCTTAGTAGTTGTGGCTTGCGGGCTCTAGAGTGCAGGAGTTGTGGCGCACAGGCTTAGTTGCTCTGCAGCATGTGGGATCCTCCCGGAGCAGGGCTCGAACCCGTGTTCCCTGCAGTGGCAGGCGGATTCTTAACCACTGCGCCACCAGGGAAGTCCCTAAATTATCTTTAGAAAGCTTTGCAGTTAAAATACAAATATGTTTTAACTAAGTACAGTATTACCTGCATCTGGGTACTTTAATATTCCCAGCTCTGCCAGTGCGTCATCTCGGACAGGTGTTTTGATTTCTCACTAACTTGTTCCCTCGTATGTAAAGTGGGCATAGCTTCTGCCTGATAAAGCTCATGCGAGGATTAAATGAGAACATGTATGTAAAGCCCTAGCGTATTGGAGAGCACTCAGTGGATAGGAGCCATTATTCACCAAGGGTCTTAAAGAACTGAGTTTTGTTTTTTAATTTTTTATGTCTTTCCCTCATAATTTTTTACTGGGATATAATGCACTTATCATTCCCCTTCAGAGTGGTTTTCGGTATACCTACAGAGTTGTGCAACCATCACCACCACCTTTATTTAGGCATCTGTGTCTACCATGAGTTTCCAGAGTTTCTGGATCATGGGACTTCGTTAAGGAAATGCTTTTTGTTGCTAACCTGTCTCACTTTATCTCTTGCAGGAAAGTTCACATCCTTGGTTCTTTCCAAAACATCAAGATGGCAAGAACTGCTATTTGCAACCTCATCCTGGGTAACAGCAGTTTCATCCTATGTTGTTTTGTCTGAAAGAAAAGAACAGGGAATTTAGGAACTCAGATCACATTTGCAGGTCACTTTAGGGTCAGGGTGATGACAAAGGTAGCAAGCAGAAACTCTTGGGGGTTGGGAAATGTGGGCCCAGAGAGAAAGCAGGAATATTTTTGCTTGCATTCCATCTGCAAACCCGAGAGAAAGGGTTTATTGGATTACATTGCTTACATCATCGCTGCGTCCCCTGAACAGGTGCGCCAGGGAGCCCTTCCAGAATAGCAGGCAGCATTGTTTTAGGTTCAGCCAAAAGGGAGCTGCTGAGCAGCATCAGTCGGTCATCTTAGTTGACTGACTTAGTCCCATTTTCAAACCACGAAGTACGGTCACTTGCGGTCTGAGCCCGTGGGTTGTAGCGCTTGCTCGGGAAATGTGTGGGATCCACCGCGGTGCCCAGGTCAGTTGTGCCCAGGTCTGACTGGCTGCTTTTCGAAACATTTTGACAACTCAGGGTCTTTGGCTGTTAGGATTTAAAATGTTCTTTGGAGAATATTTATGTGGTTTCCTTTATGGTTCTTTTGTTGATTTAAGGTAGATCCAGCGGAAAATGTCCCTGTCCTTTGTAGAGTTGCAGACCATTTTCCATTGTAGCATCTATATGTATACGTGTGGATAAGCTTTTTTATTTTCTCCTGCAGGAAATCCTCCATCAAAGGTTTATGGCAATATTCGTGCTGTGGCTAGCAGAGCGGCAGACCGATTCTGATTTCAAATCAGAGACTTTTTACCTTGTCTTTGAACTCTAGAGAAGATGCCTTTCCCCTCTACAAGTGGTCACCAGACACCATGTGAAGAACTTTTCAGTCGTGGATACCGTTATTTATACTAGCACATTAAGTATAATTTATTTTTTCCATTTTAAATCACATACAGATTTGCATAGTTTATAAGCCTCTCATTTGGAGGGAAACTTATTTAAAAAAACAGTTCTGTATTAGCTTCTAAGTTTTTTGTTTATAAATTTATAAAAAGTTATTTCTTCTCTATGAGTTGCAATTAAAAGAATTATCTCAGAAAACCTCTCTTGACTTGTGACCCTTAATACTGGATGGTGTGTGAATATTTTAGACCCAGGTCATAGCAGCAGTTTGGATATACTCTGTGGACCAAGGAAGACTTAATATTTGTACCTATTTTTGCAGTTTGTAAAATTAAAGACTACATCACAAGGTTGATGTGAGGAAGGAGTTTTATTTTTTAAATAAGTGTTTAATGAAAGCAGTCAGACCTTTCCAGTGTTTGGGTATACTTCTTCTAAGTAGTAAAGGTGAAATATGATAAAAGAATATTTTTACCCCTAAGAAAACTACTATATTCTGCAAATGTAACAGATTGTTTTAACAGGTGTCTGCCTAAATGTTCTGATTTATATTATGCATTTTTTTAATGAAAGGAACCTACTTCATTAAGCTGTGTGATGTTATTCTCTTGTACATCTCTGCAACCCTTAACCAAAACTTTAATGATAGGAGTATTAGAAAGTACATGTAAGAACTAGAAAAAGTGTTGTTTTTAAGTATTGCTGTTAAGCCTTCTATTAGTTACGTGTGCCACTATCCCAGACTATTTTGTGCATTGCACTGGGATTAGATATACTTAATATTACAGTGGGAATCCAGTGGGGAATTGCTGGAAATGTCCCAGCAGTAATTTTTTTATCCTTCGGCAACACAACAGCATGGAGAGTGTATGTGTATGTTGATGTCATTTTACTCATATCCTTTCGAAAAGGAATTTGCCGGGACTGTCTTACTCTGGAGCCTGCAAAGGCTTCAGGAGGTACTTGCCTACCCCCCCACGCTTTGTCCAGGAAGTTATATGCAAAATTGTGAGTACTTTTCTAAGGAATGGGTCCACAGTTTTAATCAGGTTTCCAAAGCGCTTGGCTGAGATGAACCCTCGCTACGTAACCATAAACATTTTGTGTTGATTCTTAAAGAGCATAATTTTGATTGGAAAAACACGGGTTTTCTGTGTTAAAGTGAAGGAATCTTTTGGTATTGTTTGCATTTACTTCCTTTTGAAGATTTCTTACGTAGTTACAGCTATCAGTAATATAAGAGCGAATATATTTCTTTGGCAGTTGCTAAAATTTGGGATACTGAACTTTTACCGTCTTGAGTTTTGGGCCTCTCCCTGGGCAAACATCCCCAACCCCCAGGGAATCAGCACTGCTTGGGGCTTGAAAGGGAAACAAAATGTTAGAGGAGACCCAGCTAATTCCTGGAATGGAATAATGAAGAAAAAATAGAGGTAATAAATCTGACTACATCACAGTGGTAGTTGCAGTGGGAGTTGATCTTGACCTGGATCAAATCACTTCTTCAAATTCTTCTCTAAGGCCTGGACATGAAATCTAATAACCAAAAGCCTTAGCGATGCTTATCCATATTTCTGTGGCATCTGTCATGCTAACCTGTGATTATTTTAGTGTCTCCCTCCCACCCTAAAGCCTCTGATCTTTAGATTGTCAGTATCTAGTACAGTTTCGGACACATCATACAAGAGTTTATTAACATATTAATTGCTACTTGGCTGGGGAATGGGCATGGAAGAGGAGTATTTTCTTAGATATTCAGTGGCCGGTAAGGGAAGAGACCTTGTTGTTTCCTCCTAGTCGTTCCAGAAGATATGGACTCCAATTTCTCATCCTATCTACAGAAGAAAGCTCATGTTCATTGAGCATCTGGGAAAGAGACCTGATTTTCCTGATTCCAGAGCCATGGGACAGCATGCTTAATGTTAGATTACTGAGTACACGGTGACAGTGTACGTAACCATCCTACAACTTGCAAAATGCTCGTATTATACAAATGTTCATTACTCATTTGGTGAAAGAAATCATTCAAAGACACCAGTAATCTGAAGGAGGTTTGGGAGAGCAGGGACTCGCTAATTTGATCTGGCTAGCTGATAAGTTTATAATGCCCAAGGTCAGTAAAAGGTTGAAGTGGCAGTGGACTTTAGCTTAAAATGTGAGCTAATTTAACGAGCGGTTTTTGAGCATGTGGGAATTTCTGAAGACTGAGAATTGTTTGAAGGACTTCCCTGGTGGTGCAGTGGTTAAGAATCCGCCTGCCAGTGCAGGGGACACCGGTTCGAGCCCTGGTCCGGGAAGAGCCCACATGCCACGCAGCAACTAAGCCAGTGCGCCACAGCCACTGAGCCTGTGCTCTAGAGCCCGTGCGCCACAACTACTGAAGCCCGCACGCCTAGAGCCCGTGCTCCGCAGTAAGAGAAGCCTGCGCACGGCAAGTAGAGAGCGCCCACGTGCAGCAGCGAAGGCCCAATGCAGCCAAAACAAAAATCCATTCTATAAAACAAAAACTGTTTCAAGACATATAAGAGCTTGAACAGCATTGCTTTCTAAGTCCTGGAAAGTATCCAGAAAGATTTCTACCATCTTGTCTACTCTTTCTTTTAAAC